TAGACTGAAGTAACTAAAAGAGAGGAGGAATGGAATTATATACAGTGGAAATTTATGTACAACTAAGGACTTCAATAATAGGTACCTGGAAGCAAAGGAGAAGAGAGGCCTGAGCATACTATGTAATCAAAAGACAACTGTAAACATCAAAAGTAAATACTGCTGTGGAAAAGATAAAAGAGGTATTTCCAACAAAAAAACAGAAGGGTGTAAGAATACTGTGTACAAATCTCTCACCTACTTTTCAAGAAAGACGCATTCAACCTGGAAGATGAGCAGAGAATGGAGAGCCCATAATGCAGAAGGAAACATTTCTAAGTCATTTCTAGCTCTGAGAAAATTATATAGTTCACATGAAGCAAAGCAGTACAGTAGAGAGATACTAATTTCAGCAATAGGGTAGCCATATTAATACATCCAGATTGAGATATAATTTTCCCTGTACAATAGAAAAATCAAGATATTTGAACTAGAAGGCTCATTGACCCATATTTATTTTCCTTGCCTTTCAATAGGAATCTTATTGACCCCTAGAAACACATTTCAGTTTTGATGTGTCTGATGCTTATAAACTTTTTCTTTCCTGTGTAACTTTTTCTTATAGTTCCTATAGAAAGTAGTCCATATAACTTGGGTTTGCTCTCTGCACAAAGGCAAATCTCATCCGAAATGTGTAGTTTAATTCAGTGTGCCTTAACCTTTTCATGCTTATTCATCTATAATATTATATTCCTTAAAGACTTCTTGTGATGTTTTATGTATTTGGGGAACATAAATTTAAAAACAAAAACAAACAAACCCAAAAGCCAAGCCACACTTTTCAAGACCTGTAAATATGTTTTATAAATAGTTGTCTGATAGCATTCACAAAACGCAAGCTTTAATCAATGATAATTATGCATTTTACAATCAGCATTTGATCCAGAACAGTAAAAGTTGAAATTTTCTTATTTTACCTAAGGTATTTCTAATTATTTTAATTTACATTTAATTCCCATTGTTATGTATCCTAGTACCCTGTTCACTTTCATGTTTCATCTTCTTGATAGCATTTATTATTACTACTAGATCACTTTCTTAATTCTTATTCTATTTCTGCTCCATCAAGCACATACTTTTATAATTTATTTGTTCAACTCAAGTGCTTGGGTTTATGTTTTGAGATACTGAATTCCATTTAGGACTCATTTTCTCCCTTCCTCAATCAATTGATAAAAGTCTGAAATTTATTGACTTCTTCAGCTGTATCAATACCATTTTCTGTTTAGTAGTGGCAGCAAAGTGTAGATACCCACCAAAATCTTGCTCTCACTATAGAAACACACATTAATTTAGTCCCAGTACTGAACTGAGACTGAATGACCCCAACACGTTATCTCTACTTCAGCTTGAGACAATAAACTGAAGTCTTCTATACTTTTCTTCTGTCTCAATAAAGTCTTAAAACCTTGATAAACGTTTCTGCTGACCTTCATGATAAAATGCAGGAAAATGAACATACATACTATCAAGTTCATATATAATTCTTAGGGAACTTCGTTTTGTACCAAAAATTCTATGCCCTGTATATCAGTGTCAAGCAATTCCCTTTTATACTACACTCTAATGTTTTCCCTTGTATTTATCGTTAAAAAATAAAATGGTGGTCATAAACAAGGCAAAGACAAGAAGGAAAATAAGAAAAAAGCGTTTTACTTGTCTCAGCAAAACATAACCAAGCAACAGTCTGCTCTATCTGTAGCTCCAACAATAATCAGCCAGCGTCTTCCATCCCCACTTTAAAAAAAAAAAAAAAAAGGCTCTAAAAACACATATTCACCCTGCCTGCTACACAGACTATTTCTTCTTTGAGACCTCTTTACATAAAATTATTCCTGCAATGCAAGTTTGGGCTACTGAAGTCTTGATCCAGTAACATGAATCTGTGGATCATTTTCAGAGAAACCTGTTTGACAATAACATTACTTTCATCATAGTTCAATTCATAATACCAGCATGTATTGATTTCACAATTATTTCTCCTGTTTGCCTTCTGCATATACAGCTGAAATTCAAGAAGAATGCGTATCAACCACAAATGCCAATGACATTTAATAGCTGTGCTCATTTCAAAGCTGCAAAATCAATCATCTTCAATGGTCTCCTCCTTCTTCATCTCTTTGTCACTTCTGGCATTCAAGAGTAATGGAAAATGGACCACTGATAGCAGACCTCAGTCTAGGGCATGCTAGCATCCAAAAAAATGCTGATGCTGTTGTCCCACCTACTTGATTTAAGGCTAGGTTTTGCTATTGCTATTTATCTTGAATGTTTTTCAAAGGAATAGTTAAACCTCCTTTCACAAATATGGCATTTCAACTCCAGCTGTTCATTAGAGCCCATTACTTGTGATGCTGTAACTTACGAACACACTGTTAATCCAGTGCAATGACTTTTCTGAAAGTTATATTTTATTATCATCAAAGAGACCAAAATGGTAAAAATAAAACAAAAACAAAGGACATGGAAGGCCAAATGCTAATGTGATTTTTCAGTTGCAGGTTGTTTTGGGTTTTTTAGAGATTTGCTTTTTATCATAGTCATAAGGAGGGTATAATTGTCATATTAGTCCTTGATCTGGAAAAAGGTACATCTCTTTCCATTTCCAAAGGCGACAGAAAACCTGCCCTCCATCTAGGCAGTATAGTTTCATTAATGATTGGTTTGCATATTCAATCTGATAGTGGAAAGATTAATATGAATATCGTGCTTATCTTAAATGTAAAATAAAAAATCTGCTTCCAGGTTAAGCATTTTTTTGAATAGTTCCATTGTCTCACATTCCTTCTGGTAAAACTTCATCATTTATTCAGTAACTCAGACGTCCCCAGTGCATTAATTGTGTAGACTGTAACCTAACAGACAGCCCTTGTTTTGTGAGTATAATATTCCTGGTACATACTGTAATTATCTAGCTTCTAAATAAGAAAGAAGGAAGACCTGAAAGCAGAATCAATTGATTAATGTAAAAATTAAACACCACATTTGAATTAATGTCTTTTATCACCACTACCCCATGCTACGTAAGTTGTGCTGTCACCACATTTAAAAGCTTTATAAAATATTTTAAATAAAATTTTAAAATCCATATGCAAAACATTACAGTTTCAGAGCACATCGTCAATAGTAATTAATTCACAGTCCCAAGACACAGACAAGCAACTCTTACTGCTTATCTTCTAGTTGTTCTATCCTTAGTGTACACCTAACATGGACTGGTATCATTCTTAGCTGACAACTAGCAAACAGACTATGCATCAATTTTACAATGTGGAAGACAATGAGAGAGCATTTTCTCTGAGATTAACACACTATGTCTTTTCCTAAAGTAAATTAGGGAAAGTAGGGCTTTTATTTGTCTTAAACAAATTAGGGTTCTAATATCATGCTAACAGGGGACACAGAGAGAAAAATGAGGAGGCAAGGCAAAGAAGTTAAGCTGACTTAATCAAGATCAGAAGCTGATCTTAGACCTTGAAATGAACTTCTCTTAATGAAAATGGTCTGTAAACTAGCACTCTACTAGAGCACAGTGAATATTTAATTTCTTAAAGTGTAGTCCAAAATTTCCTTTTGTTCGAACATTTGTATGTATTATGAATGCAGGAGACATATTTCTGAAAGAAGAGGCATTTACTCCTTTGCAATACAAACGCACAGAGCTCATACTGTTTCCATATTGACGGTAAGATATTTACATTTTCCACAGGAACAGCAAAATTACCTTAAGGTCCAGTCTTAAGCCACTCTTCTAATGCCACATGGTGACTAAGCCATTGCTTGCATATGAAGCTATGCCTTTTATTTTTAATAAAGCCATTTTCTTGTGTAGAAAACAAACTCTATCTGCAGTAGGACAGCTAAAGACGTGCATCATCTATATAATAAGGTTAAATAATTTATTCCCTATTGTAGTATATAAAAGAAAAAATGGTTGCTACCTCCTCTTTCAACTTCAGGAGAAACAAGGTCCTGCTTTGATGCATCAGTTTAGCTATTTAATGAGAAGCAGAATATATACTTTTCCTCCATTTTTTTCAGTCTGTTTCTATGTCCCAGAATATTCACATTGTTTGCTGAAACTGTATTAAGGGTAAGCAACTTCAGCTTTCTCATTATGCTTTTCTTATGACAGCCATGGAAAGACTCAGTATAATCTCATCACCTTGTATTCATCAGACTACTAAAAGCTCTGGCATAGATTTCTCTTGGCCTACCGAGTATTAATTTAAACCACTACAGTCATTGATGTGCAAAGTTTAAGTGTCTCCTTTTAGCAGGACTAAATGCTCTTCTGAATGCAAAAATCACTACATTAAATTAGTCCTTATTGGAATTAGAATTCCTGGCTGAGACTATTCGGAAACAGTCAGTGCTGAAGAATAATAGGAGCAGTGGGGAGAGAAGAGCAGCAACAGCGAAGGAGTCTGTGGAGGGGTATGGAGCAATGATTGCACAGGAATGGCTGCACAGGGTCAGGCAGAGGACCCATCCAATCCAATATTCTCTCTCCTCCAGCGGCTACAAGTATATCAGGGAACGTAAGGACAGTAACATATGGTACTTCCTAAGTATCAACATTCAAATTCACATGTTTAAATAAGGAAAATGATGACTAATGAGGCCATAAATCTTTCACGGTTTATGAAAACAACACGGTCCAGAAATTTGTCTAACAAAGTACTTAGTCAAGATATACATTGTAAAAACCCACAATGCCATTTTCTGAAGATCCTCACATTGCCCTCACAACTGCCAGTGCTGAATGAAATCCAACAATACTGTGGGAGAGCAGCATATTGGACTGCTAGTTACAAAACTAGCAAACTTAAATCTTGATCATGCAAATGGATCAATAAGGGCTTTCTCACATAAGTCAAATTGACAGTTGGGACCAAAGCTGAAAGAAAGTTACCCAAGCAACAGTTCTCTGATGGAAAATTATTTGGTTTTGGACACAGGCTTAAGAAAGAATTGGAAAATTGCAAAGATGAGGATTGGGAAAGTATCTGTGAGACTCTTCGAACAGAAATTGAAATTCTGCAAATGGTATGCCATTTTCATTATGTATTTTAAGTGTTTGATAATTTTAGTTTTAAAGGTGTAATTTAAGATGATTAGCAGTGGTTTTAGATAAGCAGTTTTTTATACTATGTACACGGCCAAACATCCTTGCATTGCAGGTGCGCTCCAATTCTCATTTGTTTTAGCTTATTATTTCCAAATGTCCAGAAATATCACTTCTCACAGAAAAGGGAAGTACAGAAAAGAATTTAAAGATATGTTTTTAGCACATGAAAGACCTATGTGGGGGACTAGTACTAATGATTAGTTTCTTGAAAGCTGCAAAAGATTATGCATTTAGAAGCTAAATTAATATTTACCTCCAGCTGTCAGTTAAATGGAAGATGGGAATATGGAGAAATAGGATGATAATAGCATCCTTTTATGTAATATTTTATTTTGTCCACTCACAAATTCCTTACAAAAATTTATTAAAGTGTTTTTTTTTCTCTAAATGTCAATCTTAACTTCAAATTTCTTGATTGCCAGTCTGTGTAACAATACAAGGAGAAAAAATATTTTGAAGTCTCATTTTTGGAAATAAAAGGGTTTTAAAGGTTCATTTCAGAGCCCCTGATTGAACTGTATGAAGGTGCAGCTGCCACTAGCATCAATAGCAGAATAAGTCATGGGAAATTTGTATTACTCACTTGTATGATCAGTTTCAAGTTTCTGCTGGAGGAATGTAACTTATTTGTACTTTATCTGTTAATTTTATGCTTGTCAAACTTCAGAAACAAAAAAAAACACAGCTGAATGTTTAAAAACTTCTCTGTAAAGAACACACTGAACTCATTAGATTTCATTTTCTATAATTCAATTCTTTCTCCTCTCCAGAATCTATCACAAAAAAAGTCTTCAGACAAGTGACTGATATGGAGTGTCATAGAAGCTAGTCTTTGAGTATTTTAAAACTATTTTACTCAGGCTTTCCCAGGTTTGCTTCCATTTTTTTGTTTGACTAAACCACAGTTTGTACCTGCCTTTACTTTTTATTAAAATAAATTTTTTTTCATTTAAAAGTAGTGGGGGTTTTGTGTTTTGTCCTCAAGTTCAACAGCTATCCCTCTTTGGTTTCCTCTTTGTTGCCTGTGAATGGACAGTACATAGTCCACTACACATACAGCTGAGTTCCTGTATTACTGGCTCTATTCTCTATGTACTATTTTTTAGAATGAATGCTCTCGTATTTTTAAGGTAGTGATGGGTTCTTATTTGAGAGGAAGACTGCTATTACCATCAAGAAATACTTAACAGGATCAATGGCCATTTAGTTTATACCTTGACAACGCAATTCTGTAACAAGCTCTCTGAAACAGCTCAACTCCACCAATACTGCATGATAGGCCAGAAGAGTTTCCAAATCTACTCAGCAGTAGATGCCTCCATTGATGGTAAGCCAGTCCATTACTTAGCACTTGTCTTCTGATTACATGAGATCTTCTTTTCTTCCTCTCCCACAATCCACAAAATACTGAGTGCTAGGTTCAACACTTGACAGCAAAGATAAAACCGTATTCTAAATGAAAAGTCTGCATTTCCAGAGAACTGGTGAAGAATTTCCATTGAATAAGGAGCCCTATTCATTCAAGCACGTAGGACATATAACTGCTACAGCAGTTCCCAACCCCACAGTATGAACTGACTTTATGTTTCAGGTGCTTTACAATAGGACCATGTAAAAACATTCACTCTGCTCAGCCTCAGCCCACTCTGTGGTCATCGTCTCATCACATCCAGCTGTGTGTGCAAATAATTTTCAATCTCCTTCCCACCTGGGGGGTGGGATGGATAATTGCTCTGCACTAGTTTCTCTACACCCAGAGCTCTCCAAGCTACAGAGGCTGTCTGTCACACATAAAACTGCAAAAGATGTTTTATTAAGAAGGGAGGAATAAATCACTTTTGGAAGCTAACCAAATTCTGCCTGCAATGGAGAAAGTTTTTTCCTCTTGGGATACAGCTGCAGTTTGAAGTCTGGCAAGATTTGATCTGCAGCACTGGTATCAAAGAGTATTCTGATCCACTGAGTTAACTAGGATAATTCCAAGAGGTTGCAATTATCATTCTTAATAATCAGTGTTGTTGGAGCCGACATCCTTATAAGGTTTTTTTGTCTCTTCCCTAAGAGAGATCCTCTTAGGATGTGCTTAATTTTAAACAACTTAGTCCCTCTGACTTCTGTGGGACCCTCTGACTCTTTTAAAGTTAGGCAACTACTGCTTGTGGATTTTGATCAAATCCAGGGCCTATTGCAAAATGATGGAGTTGCATATCAGAGTGTCTACAGATAGCTGAACCAGTGCTATTTTTGTGTTTAATTGCTGGAAACAGATGTAAATTTAGGATTTGCTTAGATGGCTGAGTTTATCCTGATCGTTTTATTCATTTAAGGGAGCTTGCTTATGTTAAGTGTATTGGTTAATCAACCAGGAAAAGCTTATTTTTAAACTTTGGGTTTAGGCACTTGTAGTTGCTTTTATTTACAAGGATCCTTGCATCTCTTTTGCAATGGTCTCATATTTATATAGTTGTTTGGTCCATATAGATTAAATACTCTGATAGGACATGAAACAGACCTCAATGATTTATACCAGCATTCTACATATATATTTCAGGTAAGTGGAATGAGCAATAGCATCCAATAACTATCAATTAATAGTATAAATTAATGTCCCTAAGTCACCTGAAAAAACACCTGAGGAAAAGAAATATGGTAAGGCCTTTTCAGAGATTCTTCAGATTCCAGGAAACCAGTTGCAACTTCAGTTTTTTGGGGGGTTGGTTTGTTTGTTGGGGGGGTGTTTTGTTTTTAATAGCAGTGAAGGTCTAAGTTCTTGATTATTGTACTAGAATTACGGTGTAAGTATAGCAAAATTTGTAATAACTCAAGTGGCTAAAACTCTCAGAATCAATATAACAACAAAACAAGAATAAAGCTTACCAAAAAAAGTGAAACAGAAATCAATACAAATCCTATTGGGCTAAACAAATCCCTCAACAGCTCTGAAAAAAATATAATGCCAGACTAAACCAGCTGTTGCAGGATGGATGTAAAACATACTAATTTCTCCAAGTATAAAAATACATTTGTCACCACTGGCTTATGAATAATGTAATTTGGGACAAATATAGTATTTCTGTTTGGAAGACAAACTAAAAATTAAGCAAAAGTTTGTGTTTTGTGGATTTTCTTTAAAATTCTCAAACCAGGGATGAGTAATCTTTTAAATAATGAGTGCAAAAGAACCAAATCTTTTGTCGTGTTTAACAGATATGTTAAAGAACAGAACATTGCCAAATTGCCATGAAAATACACACAAGTTATTATGAATAAATAAATTCTTTCACAGATGACATAATATAAGTTGTTTGGGTTTTTTTTAAAGGATAGATTATATATTATACACCTTGCATATGAGAGTCTAACAGAACGTCTGAGGCCAGAGGAAGTAGTTGTCCCTTTTTATGACCAAAAAAGATGAATTAGAGCCATAGAAATACTTGAAGCAGTTAGTGAGAAAGACAAAGATCGCCCAAGAAAAAAGTTACTACTCTAGACTAAAAGAAGGCATAGGAAAAACTAGCTGTGCTTCTGTATTGGACCTGGGAACAGCTGCTTTTTAGGATCAACAGAGAAAGACTCCCTCATTTCTGAAGAGACAGAGAAATACTTTAGATTACTAAATTTACCTGGGACAGATTGGGATTTGCCAAGTGTCAAGTCCCACATCCTTCACAAAAGACATGATGAATTGCAGTTTTATCTGACACCACAGCACCTCTCCTCTACTGTGACCACATACCTAAGACACAGCTGAGCAGCCTGATGGTTTGGGTTTTTTTTTTTTTAATCATCGAATCACAGCTCCCAGCCATGCTTTGTAAAAGACGCTTCCCAGTAGCAGCCTAATGCAAACAGATTGTTGCAAAGGAGAATCCAGGATCCATTTGAAACAAATCTAACAGGAAAATAATTAAGCCAGGACATGGACCTGATAAGGCTTGGCAAAAATCACTGAACTTTCAAAAAGAGTTTACTAACCAGGGTGAGTAAGGTCTGACCACAGAGGCCCAAAAGAGAAAGTCTGTTAAACCTCGAATCTACAAGATTATGGGTTTACAAATCAGCCTTAATGAGTTTGGAGGTAGAACAAGGACAATCCAAGGTCAGGAGCCAAAGAAACTGGGAGACATACTAAGCCAAAGTCACAGTGAGAGGCCATGCTGAGGAGTGGAAGACCCAAGAACCACAATAGCCAAGAAGCCAGCAGACAGAACACAAACCACAGCAAAGATGTAGCTTAACTGTGTAAAAAGTGCCCCCATGATCTAATGTTACTTACCCAGATATGTACCTATTCTTGAAGCAAGAACAGCTTCAACTGAGAGGAAAAAACAAAAAAAAAACAAAACAAAACAGAACAAAATGAATCAAAATGCAATTATTTTGTTTCTTATAAAAAGGAGTTAACTACTGCTTCATGTTATTTTATTTATTAACAGCCAATTCAAAGACTACCAAGAAAACCACTGCAATATCTAACCACAGAATAAAATTACAGTTAGCTAATGCAACAGTACCCATGCAAATTATCTTTAATTGGTTGACATAAATATGATTGAATTGGTGATAGTGCCAAATTAATGTTATAAAATGAAGAACAGCAAGAAATAAAGAATAAGTGAAAAAAAAAAGGTACCTGTAACTGAATGACAAACTGAGTCAGTGAGAAAAAATTCATATGTATGACACGGGGCAAAATATCAATTGAGGTCACGCATCCCTGTTCAGCTGATCTTGCTTATGGGGTCCTCAGTCACAGAGGCAACTGACAGTCTCCAGCTACAGGGCTGGCTGCCTACATAGAGCTTGACAGTTTGGCAGTTGACTAATCTAGAAAAATTAGACCCCAAGAGAACAGAATATTTGTTTTTAAAACCTGTGACTGAATTACATGTATAGATCAAAAATGGATAGGAAAAGCACCTGCAAGGCCAACCACTGCCACAAAGTGTAGCGGGGAGCACAGATCCTACAAGAACGATAACAGGGGAAGACCAGAAAAAGAAGACATGTTCCAGCACTGCCTCCCCAGTTAAGGATGCCATGACTGACCAGCACTGCTACCGATCTGTAGCAGGTCCTCCGTGTCCTTCGATACAATAAAGAGCACTGCTTTTGGATTTGCCATTCGCTACATTTCTGCTGCAGATTCAATCAAGTGTAGAGTGTTAGATCTTACTATCTGATGGGGCTTAAATACATTAGAATTTTGAAGAGCTCTATGTGTTTATCTCTCTGTGTGTACCGTTTGGGTGCTTTCTGCTCTAATTGATACCATAGTATCAAGTCAGAGTAAATTTGGATGAAACAGTGGGTCTCTCTCTCCATGTTGTCATGCTGGTCCAAGTTTAAACTCATACTAATATGCTATCTCAGGGGTAGAGTGAGCCAACTGGCTTACCACAGTCGTCTTCAATTTGATAGGAGTTTGTAACACAAGAAAGGATTTTACCACTGGCTGAGCTGAAGTAATAAATAGGCACCTGCCCTGAAGCTTTTAGTATGAGAAAACACCTCCAGGTGATTTCCATGGAAAAGATAACAGGTTTAGTAGTTATGCTGCACACCCATTCCCAAGGATGGCAATGCAAAAACAGCTACTGGGTAAAGAGGACTAGCAGAATAGTTCCAGTCCTCTGCTCCGAAATTAAATGTGATACTAAAGTATGTTAACTGGGTAAAGGATCAGATTCAATGTCTAACAACCTCTGCCTTGCTTGTCAATAGAGTATTTAAGTAAGTAGTAGCTCTGCTTCTTTTACTGATTGCAGCTGACATGCAGTGTTTATATATTCCAGTGATA